AAATAAAAATAAATAAAGATAAATATAAATAAATAAAGATAAAGATAAAGAAAAAATAAATAAAGATAAATATAAATAAAAATAAATAAAGATAAAGAGAATGAAGAAAAAGCAGAGAAAATCAAAGAAAGAAAAATAAAAATAAAAATAAAATAATAAAAAACAAACAAAGACAAAGAGAGATAAAAGAATAAAGCAAAAAAATATTTTAATAAAAACAGAAAATAAATAAATAAATAAATAAATAAATAAATAAAATAAATGAACAGAGAGAGACAGATAAATAAACAGAGACAGACAGATATAATAAAACAAAAAGAAAGAGACAAGCAAAGAGATATACACAAACAGATAATAAAATAAACAAACAAATAATAAAATAAAATAAACAAACAAATACTAAAATAAAATAGCTATACCGTTCTCTATTAAAGAAGATATACGGCTTGCCCTCATTAAGGAGACATCGGCTATGCAGACATCGTCTAAGCAAGCCTCAGCTGAAGCAACATCTCCAGCCCCTAAACAAACAAATAAATAAATAAATAAATAAATAAATTAATTAATTAATTAATTAATTAGTTAATTAATTAATAATAAATATATCTCGGTAATTAAATGCGCGGAAAAGAAAGCGAAGACGCAGCAGAAAAAAACAATATTTTGCTGCAAGTCAAACCCTAAACCCTAAACCCTAAACCCTTGAGCGTACAGAGATTACAAAGAGCGCGTGAGAGTGACTGCTCGACAGTTTCATATGTTCCTGAAGCCTGCAGCAGCAGCAGCAATAGCAGAAGCAGCAATAACAGCAGCAGCAACAGCAGCAATAGCAGCACCAGCAGCAGCAATAGCAGAAGCAGCAATAGCAGCAGCAGCAATAACAGCAGCAGCAATAACAGCAGCAGCAATAACAGCAGCATTCCCCCAGGCAGCAAATACCGCTATGTGGGGTTAGGGTTTAGGGTTTAGGGTTTAGGCTACAATATCAGATTCTAATTCAGCAGTCGCAGTGTCCTCGCGGTGTATCCGCAGCAGCAGCTCCACTCGCAATGCGCGCCTGCAGCAGCAGCAGCAGCAGCAGCAGTAGCAGCAGCAGTAGTAGCAGCAGCAGCAGCAGCAGTAGCAGCAGCAGCAGTAGCAGCAGCAGCAGCAGTAGCAGCAGCAAAGCAGCAGCGGCAACAAATCAGCAGCAGAGGTCTATGTATGAATTGATGTCTGTCTATCATTGTGTGGAGATGCTGCTGCAGCAGCAGCAGCAGAGCAGCAGCAGCAGAGCAATAGCAGCAGCAGCAACGACATCCCCAGCAGCAGCAGCAGCAACAGCAGCAGAAGCAGCAGGAGCAACAGCAGCACCTACATCTCGCCCGTGCTGTAGTTGTTGCAGAGGCGCAGAGCAGCAATGGGGTCTCCTTGTGCTGCAGCAGCAGCAGCAAGGAATGCAGCAGAGGGACAGCTGCTGGCTAGCTGCTGCAGCTCCTGCTGCAGCTGCTGCTGCTGCTGCCCTGATGCACACTGTAGCAGCAGAAACAAGAGAGACAGCAGGAGCAGCAGCGGCAGCAGAGACAGCGATATTAGTACACGCTGCTGCAGAAGCAGCAGAAACAGAAGCAGCAGAAACAGAAGCAGCAGCAGCAGCAGAAGCAACAGCAGCAGCAGCTCACATATCGAGTGAGCAGCAGAAACAGTGCAAGGGCTTTTATCCCTGGGTTGCTGTGCTGCAGCATTCGCTGCAGCTGCTGCGGATGTTGCTGCTGCAGCACATGCGGCGGCTGCTTCAGCAGCAGCAGCTGCTGCTCGCATGCTGCCAGCAGAAACTCCCGCTGCTCCTCTGTTTGGGCGCCTGCTGCTTTTGCTGCTGCTGCTGCTGCTGTTGCACCAGCTGCTGCGGCCTCATAGTAGCCTGCTGCATACAGCTGCAGCGGCTGCAGCAGCAACACACACACACACACGCACACATATTAACACAACAACAATGCTGCTGCTGCTGCCGCTGCTGCTGTCGGCGCTGCTGCTGCTGCTGCTGCAGCGGAGTTAGCAGCTCAGCTCACATGCGGCGCCAGCCCTGCTGCAGTTTCCCTGTAGAGACTGTAGCAGCAGCCGTAGCAACAGCAGCAACTGCAGCAGTAACAGTAGCAGCAGCAGCAGCAGCAGTAGCAGTAGCAGCAGCAGCAGCAGTAGCAGCAGTAGCAGCAAGAGCAGCAAGAGCAGCAGCAACAGAAGTTGCAGTAGCAGCGGCAGCATCAGGACGTACTTCGGAGAGTATCCCATTCATTGTATTTACAGATGGTGTTGCTGCTGCAGTTGCTGCAGTTGCTGCTATTGCTGCTGCTGCTGCTGCTGCTGTTAACTGGGCGCAGCCGACAGCAGCAGATTCCTCGTCTGGGGTTTGGGTGTATAGGCAGCTTGCTTTGTCTTTCGCTATTAAAAAGAAGTTATAATTCTCAATTATTATATTTGCTGCAGCCTTTGCTGCTGCTGCTGCTGCTGCTGCTGCTCCGGTTGCTGCGCTGGTTCTGAGTCCCGGCGCATGCAGCAGCAGCTGCAGCAGCAGCAACAGCTGCTGCAGCAGCAGCGGGCTTCGCTGTGTTGTTATATTTAATTTATTTTCTTGGCCGGTATTTGCATCTTGGTTTCATTTCTTCAGCAACACCAACAGCTGCAGCAGCAACAACAATATCAGCAGCAGCAGCAGCAGCAGCAGCAGCAACAGCTGCTGCTGCTAAGGCTCTGGGGTCGAGGCATCCCCTTCTTTTCTCTTTGGTTGTAATTTAGCTGCCTCTGTTCTGCTGCTCTCCATCTGCTGCTGCTGCAGCTCTTCACTCCTGTGTCTCCAGCAGCAGCAGCAACAGCAGCAGCAGCAGCAGCAACTCCCGCCGCAGCAGCAACTCCATTAGCAGCAGCAGCAGCAACGCCAGCAGCAGCATCTAGTGCAGCAGCAAAGCCAGCAGCAGCTGAAACAGCAGCATCTAGTGTAGTAGCAGCATCACCAACTGCAGCAGCTGCTGCATCCACTGCAGCAACAGCGCCTCCAGCATCAGCATCAGCAGCAGCAGCAGCAGCAGCAGCATCTACTGCAGCAGCAACGTTACCAAGCTGAGCCTCTGTCTCTAAACAGAAGTCCAGACCCCAAACCCTAAACCCTAAACCCTAAACCCTTAACTCAAGCAGCATGCGCCTCACTGCGGCCCTGCATTTTGCTGCTGCGGCGGCAGTCGCAGCAGCGGCTACAGCATCAACAGCAGCAGCAGCAGCAGCAGATAACGAGGAGACTGCATCTGCTGCCTCCGAACCGAATTGGTTGCTGCTAACTCCGCAGCAGCAGCAACAGCAGCAGGAAGCAGCAGCAGCAGCAGCGTTGGGGCCAGAGGATATCTTCATCTCAGCCAAACACTCAACAGGAGACAGCAGCAGCAGCAGCAACAGCAACAGCAGCAGCTGCTGCAAGAGCAGCAGTAGCAGCAGCAGCAACCCTAACAGCCATCTGGACTCTAAGAGCTGCCAAGATGCGTTATCCGCAAGCCTGAGCAGCAGCAGCAGCCTTCCTCCCGATGCAGCAGCAGCAGAAGCAGCAGCAGCAGCAGCAGAAGCAGAAGCAGAAGCAGCAGAGATCGAAGCAGGTTTATCAGAGCTGCAGCGGCGCATCAGCAGCTGCAAAGATTTTCATCAAGACCCTCAAGGGTGCCTTTCTCTAGGGCGCTGCAGACACTTCTGGCTGCAGCAGCAGCAGCAGCAGCAGAAGCAGCAGCAGCAGCAGCAGCAGCAGCAAGGGTTGTGTCTGCTGGATGAGCTGTATCTGCAGCAGCTCGCAGACAGCAGCTGCGCACTGGAGCCAAGGTCAACCCTCTTCGCTGTCGCCAGGGACCTCCACGGGTATTTTGCTGCTGCTGTTGCTGCTGCTGCTGCTGCTGTTGCTGCTGCTGCTGCTGTTGCTACTGCTGTTGCTGCTGTTGCTGATGTCGCTGATGCTGTTGCTGTTGCTGATGCTGTTGTTGCTGCTGATGCTGCTGCTGCTGCTGCTGCTACTGCTGTTGTTGCTGCTGTTGCTGCTGCTGTTGCTGCTGTTGCTGATGCTGTTGCTGATGCTGTTGCTAGTGCAAGCGTTGCTTGCGGGCTGCCCCTATGTCTACTTCTGCTGCTGCTGCTGCTGCAGGTTTGGGGCCTTGGATATGTCAGTGCTGCATAACTTGCGCAGCAGCAGCAGCAGCAGCAAGCAGCAGCTCTGTAGGCTCGTCACCCATGCTGCTGCTGCTACTGCTGCATCTGCTGCTGCTGTTGTTTCGGTTTTAGCAGCAGCACCAGATCCGCAGCAGCAAACGTTAGCCTCCCCGCTGCAGCTGCCACGGCAGAGGCCAGGACAGCAGCAGCAGCAGCTGTTGCTGCACCAGCTGCAGCAGCAACAGCAGCTGCAGCAGCAGCAGCAGCAGCAGCCTTGGAACTCCCTTCGCCCCTGGGAAAAGCTACGAAGAATTCTCTCTCCTTGAGCTAGCTAGCTAGCTAGCTAGCTAGCTGGCTAGCTACCCAGACAGCTCTATAGCTAGCTGGCTTACGAGCTAGCTAGATAGTCATATACCTAGCTAGCTGCATAGCTAGCTGGCCAGATGGCTAGCTAGCTAGCCAGCCAGATAGCCAGCTAGGGGCCCGACAGCTAGCTAGCCAGCTATATAGATAGCTAGCTAGCTAGCTAGCTAGCGAGCTAGCTAATCGAGCAAGCAAGCAGCGAGTTGTCTAGCTAGCTTGGCTAAGTTAGCTGGCTAGCCAGACGGAGCTGCTGCTCCTCGCTTTTCGCATAAGCAACAGCAACAGCAACAGCAGCAGCAACAGCAACAGCAACAGCAGCAGCAGCTCCAGCTGCTGCTGTTGCTGCTGCTGTCTTTGCCGCCCCGCAGCGGCGGCAACAGCAACAGCAGCAACAGCAGCAGCAACAGGTGCTGCTGCTGTTGCAGTGTGTTGAATTGTTTATAATTGTTTAAAAGAGAGTAGATAGCATAGCTCTCTTTCTTTCTGTTCTCTGTCTCTCTTTGTCTGTCTCTGTCTCTCTTTGTTTGTTTTTGTTTATATCTTTGTTTATTTTTTTCTCTGCTTCTCTTCTGTCTCTGTCTCTATTTGTTTATTGCGTCGTCTCTCTTTCTTTTGTCTTATCTCTCATCTCTCTCTCTGTCTCTCTCTCTGTCTGTTTCTTTCTGTCTCTCTCTCTCTTTATCTGTCTCTCTCTCTCTCTCTCTCTTTATCTGTCTCTCTCTCTCTCTCTCTCTCTCTCTCTCTGTCTCTTTCTGTCTCTCTCTTTATCTCTTTATCTCTTTATCTCTTTATCTCTTTATCTCTCTGTCTCTGTCTCTGTCTCTGTCTGTCTCTGTCTCTGTCTTTGAGCTTTTTATTATTTTTATTTTTCTGTCTCTGCCTACTTTGTCTCTACTTTTTCTGTCTTTGTTTATTTTTTTGTTTTTATTTCTCTCTTCTTCTGTCTCCTTTTTATCTTCTGTCTGTCTCTATTTTAATTTTAGTTTTAATTTTAGTCCTCTTTTTGTGTTCTCTTCTTAAAACTTCAGCCCAGAATCTGTCCCTCCAACACGGCACAGCTAGCCAGCTAGCTAGCTAGCTGTACAGCTAGACAGCTAGCTAGACAGCTAGCTAGATAGCTACCTAGCTAGCTAGCTAGCTAGACAGCCAAGTAGCTAGCTGGCCAGCTAGCCAGTTAGCTAGCGAGACATCCATCGAAAAACTGAGCCTCTCTAGCTAGCTATCTAGCTAGCTAGAAGCAAGCCATCGAATAGGCTGCAGCTCACTGGCTAGCAGCCTGGTAAGCTAGCTAGCTAACCGCTTAACCAGCTGCAACTCACTGGCTACCTAGCTAGCTACCTAGCTAGCTGCTTCAAGGTCCCCAGGCTGCTGGGTGCCCTTGGCAGCACATTGACCTCCACACGCGCCTCTGACACACAGCTAGCTAGCTAGCTAGCTAGCTAGCCAGCCAGCTAGTTCGCCAGCTAGCTAGTTAGCTAGCTAGCCAGCCAGCTAGCTATCCTTCTCCAAGTGCAGCAAACGCATGCATCGCGTCTTGCGTTTCGTTCAGTCGTCCAGGGCCTCCAAATCCTCCTGAGTAAAAGCAGCACTCGCAGCAACAGAAGGCTAGCTAGCTAGCTAGCTAGCTATTGTGTTGGCTAGCTAGCTAACCGACTTTGTTGAGGTAGCTAGCTAGCTAGCCGACTTGTTAAGTAGCTAGCTACCTAAGTTGCTAACTAGTTAACCTCCTAGGTGAGCTGATTGCTAGCTAGCTAGCTAGCTAGCTAGCTAGCTAATCCTGCGACTCCCCAACTAGCCAGCTAGCTAGCCAGCTAGCTAGCTAGCTAGCTAGCTAGCTAGTATGTCTGCTGTACCGGTGCGATGTCCTCCATGAAGAGTTGGGGTTTGATTGGGGTAGGAGTATTTGTTTTTGTGTTTGCTGCTGAGTTAGAAGAAGAAGAAGAAGAAGAAGAAGAAGAAGAAGATGATGATGATGATGATGATGATGATGATGAAGATGATGATGATGATGAAGGCTCTACGCTGTCTTCTCTTTTTTCTGTCTCTTCTTCTTCTTCTTCCTGCTCTTCTTCAACCTCCTATAAACATAAATAACATAAATAATAAATAAAATTAATACAATACAAATAAAAAATAAACAAATGAAGCTTTCTTGCTGACTCGCTAAAGAAGAGATTAATAAAAACAAAGAAAATAAATAAAAATAAAAAAATAAAAAGAGAGACAGAAAAAGAGAGACAGACAGACAGACAAAGACAGACAGACAGACAAACAAAATAAAGATATATATGTTGTATATATATTAATAATACAAATATTAATATATACACAACATATATATATATATTAATATATATTATTTATATAAATATATATTATATATAGAGACGGATAAAGAAACAGATAAAGAGACAGAGATAAGGAGAGAGAAAAAAACAAACAAAAGGTGAAAGAAAAGAATTGAATAAGCAAAGACAATAATAAACAAAGACAATAATAAACAAAGAGATTAATAAACAAAATAATAAAGATAAGAACAAAGAGAATAATAAACAAAGACAATAATAAAGATAAGAATAAAGGTAAGAATAAAAGATAAGAATAAAAGAAAAGAATAAAGAAAATAATAAAGAAACAAACAAAGAAGAGAACAAAGAAAATAATAAACAAAGAGAAGACTAAAGAAAAGAACAAAGAGGATAATAGAAATAATAATAATAATAATAATAATAATAAAACTAATAATAATAATAATAAGTATAATAATAATAATAATAATAAAACTAATAATAATAAACAAAATAAAAACAAAGACAAACTTCTTGCTGATAATCTTCTTCATTAGCAGCGCCTTCACAATCTACGAAGAGTTCAGGGTTAATAGAGAATAAGTCGCGACCAGAGAGATGTTTTCCTGCTGCTGCTGCTGCTGCAGATCCTGCTGCTGCTGCAGGCCCTGCTGCTGCTGCTGCTGCTTTCTTCTTTTCTGCTGCTGCTGCTTCAGCCTTCTTTTCTTTCTTCTTAGACTTCCACGCAGCAAATGTCTCCGCTGTAACACGAGTGCCTCCAGGAGGCAGAGCACGTCTCTGCAGCACAAAGGCACTTATTATTTATTTAGTTATTTGTTTGTTTGTTTGTTTATTTATTTGTTTGGTTGGTTGTTTGTTTGTTTATTTGTTTGTTTGTTTGTTTGTTTGTTTGTTTGTTTACTTTGTTTATTTATCTGTTGTCTGCTTAGTTATATATATATATATATATATATATGTATATATATATATATAT